CTTGGATGGTTTGTGTCAGGAATTTCTTAGATTTATTATTTTCTTTCATGGATACATTGATTTCTTCCATTGTATCTTCCACATCTGAGATCCTTTCTTCCATCTCTTGTAGTCTATTGGTTATGCCTATCTCTGTAGTTCCTGTTTTCTTCCTTAAGTTCTTTTTCTCCATGATTTCCTCTTTCTGTGTTTTATTTAATTTTTCTAATTCTATCTTTAGACATTCAGCCGTTTTGCTTATTTGATTTCCTTCACCTGTTTGACTGTATGTTCCTGTTTTTCCTTCGATTCCTTCAGCTGTTTGTTTAAACATTGCTTTGTTTTTTATTTCTTTCAGTGATTTAATTATTTCCTCTCTAAAGGCCACAAACTGTTTGCTTCATTTTCCCATATTTCTTTATGGATGGCCATAATCTGTTTGACTTTATCTTCCTGTGTTTCTTTATGCATTTTATTTGTTTTCTCTATTATCCTCTTAATAAGCATAGATGTAAGTTAATCTTCTTGAATTTCAATTATCCTGAGGTGTCCAGGGCTGTTTACCCCTGGATAAATCGGTTCTTGAGATGCCATATTGCTCTGCCTTTTGGTGGTTAACCTTTTATGCTAGCCTCTACCCATTGGGCTATTTTAGGTGTTGGCTGTTAGTTTCTTGTGCTTCCTGGAATCCTGGGGTGAGGAGAGTCCCCTTGGCAGGAAGATGATTTTTCCTAAATAAGGTTTCCTTAGTTTTTTGTTTATGGTCACTGAATAGCCAGTGTTTCTCAGGAATTGCCATTGCTCACCTTAGGCGCATAGACTTTAGTAGTAACTGTGGTCTTTGTTAGTTGGGGGTGAGGCTTTCCTCTCACCCATAGAAGTCCTGCTCTGCTCCTAGGTTGCTTCCAGTTGCTGGCTATTACAAATAAAGCTTCTATGAACATAGTTGAGCAAATGTCCTTTTATGTTGGAACATATTTTGGGTATATGCCCAGGAATGGCATGGTTGGGTGTTGAAGTAGGACTATTCCCAATTTTCTGAGGAAGCAACAGATTGATTTCCAAAATAGTTGTACAAGTTTACTATTTCACCAGCAATGGAGGAGTGTTCCCCTTTCTCCACATCCTTGTCAGCATGTGTTGTCACTTGAGTTTTTTTTTTTTCTTTGTCATTCTGATTGGTGTGAGATGGAATCTCAGAGTTGTTTTGATTTCCATTTCTCAGATGACTGAGGATGTTGATAACTTCTTTCAGTGTTTGTAGACCATTAAAAATTCCTCTGTTGAGAATTCTCTGTTTGTCTCTGTACCCCATTTTTATATTTTAACACCTTCTTACTGAAGTAATCCAGGATTCATGTGGAAAGAGTTTTTCTTTTGCAGACGTGAATATAAAACCCAATTGCTCAATTACAGGCATTTTTCTGGGTTGTAGATGTTTTGAATACATTGTCACTGATGGATGAGAAAACAGTAGTACCATTATGCATAATATATACATTATATACACTCTATATACATTACACACAGTGGTGAGGGAAAGAAATGAATAGTTTTATGAGAGCAAAGATAAAGAATATTGTTAAGATTCCAAAACAAGTAAAATACTTGGTTATATTTGGAGGTTAATAAGATATAGAGGTCTAATGCATAGTACAATTCTATAGTATGCATGTCTACGTACTTGTGTTTATGAAACTTGATTGGTATCTTACCTGGATCTGGAAAGGCTAGCTTCCTGGCATTATTGTAAGAGACTTTCTCAGTAAAATTGTTTGATATGGACAGACATATTCTAGCCCAAACAAGATAAAAAAAATAGAAGAAGATTACTTTTTTTAAAAAAAACTTTTTATTAATTACACTTTATTCATTTTGTATCCCCCCATAAGCCCCTCCTTCCTCCCCTCCCGATCCCACCCTCCCTCCCCTTTCTGCATGCATGCCACTCCCCAAGTCCACTGATAGGGGAGGTTCTCCTCTTCTTTCTGATCTTAGTCTATCAGTTCTCATCAAAAGTGGCTGCATTGTCCTCTACTGTGGCCTGGTAAGGCTGCTCTCCCCTCAGGGGGAGGTGATCAACGAGCAGGCCAATCAGATTATGTCAGAGGCATTACTTTTTTGCCTGCTTATCTTTACTCTTATTGTCAAATTACTCTATCGTGCTGCATCTACTACTGTATTCCTTTGCTGATATTAGAATAATTTATCTGGGTTTTCAATATAAACAGAAGACCAGCAGTTCTACATGAATCTTCTAGATTTTCAATGACAGATGGGGATTTCTGAGACTCTCAACTTTGTAGATTTAACAATTACTAACAGTTGATAAAAGGAGAGGAGATAAAAAATAAGTGAAATGATTTGAGTGTCATGGATACCAGGAATTGAAAAGTTTGGCGAGAAGTTAACATAACATTAAGTGTAGTTAAGAGATGGAGTTTTCTTCATTTAGGAATTATGACTTAAAAATAGAGAGAGAGAGCTGTTTAAGTGGAAGAACACATGTATATGCTGATAACATTAAGCCAGTTGTAAATGGAAAATGAAATAGAGGCAGTAGGTGTTAATAACTTTTCAAATTTAGATGAGGAGTACAGAGTCAGTTTGGAAACTAGTTACATGTATGTGCTAGATAAGCATAGAAGAATAACATAAAAGCACCACTAGAAGTCTGTTTAGTTCACCAGTATAGCCCTAGTGAGTCCATGAGCACATGTATCAAATGTAATATGCATTTAATTAATGTGTTGAATTAATAAATGACAGAGACAATTGGTAGAGAATTTTCTAAGGAATGTAAAAGGAGTTGGGGTTGTTATTAAACAGAGAATTTAAATGTTTTTTTTTCTCTTCTGAATTCAGAAATATCATTCATTTAATCTTAGGGATTTCCCCTTTAACTTCCTGATCTTTATTGTTGTCCGATTATAAATGTTTTCATGTATTTCATAGCTTTCAACAATATTCGCATCACAGATTTTTAAAAACAACAAAAATCATCTAGACAAGTTTTGTCAATTGATTTATTTGATATTTAGATAAATGTCTTCAGTCTCTTATTTAATCAACAATTCCTATTTATGACATTGCCACAGTGTTGTCATTTGGCTCAGTTAAGAACTTTATGACAATCTGATTTGGCCATTAAAAAAAAAAGACTTGGTTGCTTCAGAATGAACTGATTTCCCCATCACTGTGGAGTTGTGCATGCAGAGGGTAGCCAACCTCTGGCAGGAATAAACTTTTTGCTTTAGTCAAATTATAAAACATCTTTTCTAAAAATAAAGTAAGTATTTACTTAAAGAAAACATGGTCTATAACTGAGCAGTGGAATTAGTGTTGATTTTGGTTTCTTCCTTCTTCTTCTGGCATTATACACACACACACACACACACACACACACACACACATATATATATATGTTATCTGTATATTTCACATCATGCACACCAATTCCACTCATTTCTCCCTCCACTCATGCTCTCTGTCCACTTCTGAAACCTCTCAAAACAGGGAAAATATCTTGTTGTGGATGCTGTAGTGTCTCACATTGTGTCCCAGAATGTACCCTTTTCCATACTTCTTTGCTTGCAAATGGTCATTGCAATGACTCCTTGGTCTGATTTGAGACCTTAGGTTTCTGCTTGTCTATTCTGTTGTTGCTCTGTCATGGAGACCCTGTGATTTTGGATCTGTGAGATGGACCCCCTCATGCAGTTCAACAGTTCATAGATGTGATAGATGTTGGGTGGGAAAATTCAAATCCCTGGTTCTGAGCCTTAGAGTTATCTGATCTGGTCAGTCCACCAGCTTTCCTACTCTCATGCCTTTGGGGCTGGCTCACCTGCAAACCCTTGTTACCAGGACCGCCTTTATCCTGCTGCCCAGGTGAAGTACAGGGCCTGTTGCAGCCTCTGAGGGACAAGGCCAATGTTATCACTCTCATAACCCCGGGTCCATTTCTCCTGCCTGCCTTACATGGTGAGGGACAAGGGAGAGGAAGAAGTTGCCCCTCCATTGTCCAAGCCACTGGCCAGCAGACTAGATGAGGAATGGCTCTCCCACACTCACTCTATTGGGGACAGTTTGCCCACAGCCTCCACATCCAGGACCAGCTCTATTGTGCTACATAGATGTGGTTCAGGACCTGCTATCCCAAGTGCTCCAACAATGGAGAGGCAGGGACAACTCTCTTACTCTGATGACCTTGTGGCCAGCTCTCCCACCTGCCACAGGTAGTGAGGGAAAAGTAGGAAGAGCATATCTCCTGATCATATCCTGGGGATATGAGGCGGGAGGTAGCTTACCTGAAATTCCTCTAATGTATGGGGCTGCACTCTGGAGTACCACAGGTGGCTTGGGTTGGGTTCAGCTCTCCTGCTCTCAGGACCCCAGGGACAGCTCTCCCATGATGCTCGGGTCAGAATGGAAACAGTTCTTCACAAACCAGAGATATCAGCATATCCCCAAAATACCTGCCTGGCCTTTGGTAGTAACAGGCCCCTGCTGCTTCAGGGTCACAGACCCAGAAGTGGTCCCAGCGGTGGCAAAGCCATTTCCCATAAGGGTCTCAGGTGGCATCACTGGCTACCCATATCAGGCTGTTTGTCACTACCCTCAAGTCTTGAGTTCTACCTCTTTTCATTGTGCCCAAATCCAGGGCATTCTTTTCCATTTCTCCACCATTAATCATCCGTCTTAGAGGCATCTTGAGTCTCTGAGTGTCTGGAGTCATCCCAGAAATGGTCTTAGGAGTGCTATGCCCCTCTCATGTGTTATGGTATTAGACTGCTAGTCATCTCAGGCTAGCTTTCTGTCCACAAACAATGGTACTGAAAAGGGGGTCATCTCAGGCTCACTCCTCACCAAGGCCACAGAAGAGACCTTATGTGAGGGTCACCTGTCTTGGACTTCCTTCAGTCCCTGGTAGTTTCAAGCTTGCTCCCAGTGATGGGAGCCATCAGGGCATGCATGGAGCCTGACTGCTGGTCATCTCAGGCTCACTTTTTTTTTCAGGGACTGTTAGGCTACTAGTCATTCTGGTGTTCACATGTCAGAATACAGAGTCTACATGTACCCTCTCTCATTTCTGACACCTCATGATGCACATGTGACACAGCAGTCACACCAGCAACACTTCTAGGGGCAGGTGTAAAACAATGTTTTGAAGGTTCTTAGAGTATCTAAAACTCTAAGAAGGCATGACAAAATAATAAAATTTCCTATTTGAAAAGCAATTGTGTTTCTAATGCTTTCATTTCATATTTTCACATGACATAAGAGATATGATATTAATGAAACAAATTTAGACTTTGGAAACAATGTCATATATAAGAAATTTATATGATTACAAGTCATATAAGTATTACTTTTTAAGATTAGAATGAAAGAAGAATAGGAAAAGAGGATGGCAGAGGGAAGGAAGGAGACAGAGAGAGAGAGAAAGAAAGAGAAAGAACTTTATTTGCTTTCTACTGAACAGTTGGAATTCCACAATACTATCCAGCTTTAGAATTAGAAATTGTCTTTGAAAAAAGTTAATGTCAGGAAGCTCTACTTTTTTTTTTTTTCTTCAGTGGAGCAGAAAACTATCACTGCTCTCTTGAAGTACTTGAGAGATTTAATTGTTTGGAGAGCTTGTTTTGTCAATTGACGAAAATTAACCAGCACATTCTCATCCTTTGAAGAGCCCAAGAGAACTTTGTGAACGCTACATATCATTTCCTCTAAATATTTAAATGCTGTAAATCACAGTAACAGACTATTAGTGAAATATAAGTTACCTTTCTGTTTTGACAAAAACACCTTCATAACAAATTTAAAGGCCAGGAGCCAATTCAACATTTTTACACTGCTAATAGCTTGGCAACCAAAAGTGGGAAGTAGGTTTTCTTCCCATTCTTGCTTATCACCACATCAGGAGAAATCTGATGAAAAAGCATATTCACACCGTAGGCTGTATGTTCAAGCTTATTTCAAATGGATGTACCTTGTGGAACCCTTGTTTATGGAGATTTACCTGTGTTGAGGTGTAGTTTGTCCTAGGAAGAGAGATCTCAAGGAGATGCCTGAATAGGCTGACTAATTCTTGGGATTTTTTTTCCAAAACTGGCATATAAAAGAGCTGGTAGTGATCCCCAAGGAAACATATACTCTTTGCTTCATGGGGGCTTCATTTTTGGAAAGGATGTAATCAGAGGATTGCCAAATGAGGACTTGCTGTGTAAACCAGATGATGCATGTGCAAGGCACAACTACAACAACAACATCAACAGCAAAACCAGACTATAATCTGCTATACTTGACTATAAAATGTGGATTCTTCTTATCCAAATCTTCTAAAATGCTTTAAGGGAAATATACATAAGTGGTATGCAGTGCCCAAAGAGGAGTCCTCACAGGATCTCCCATCTGTAAGCCCCAATGAGACATGTGAGCATCACTCCCACTAAGACCTGGGCAACTAAAAGGAAGAGCTTGGCTGAGTCTAGAGTTTCCTATGAAATGAAAATAGTCTTTTATTTGAACCAGAGACACCCACTGGATTAATCTCAGGTAGTGATGTGCCATCATAATGTAAGGATGGGTTCTGAATGCAGCTAGAGAAATGTGAGTGCACCACAAAAAAGTTTTGTCAGGGTGACTCAGGGAATGTATAATTGGGAGAAATAGGTTCTGGCATCTGTAGACAGCTGTGATGCTCCTAAGGTGTACCTAGGGATACAGAGATTAATTCTGCAATACCTTCTGAAGCCCAAAGCTCATTGTCCAGCAACTAAGCCAGTGTCCTTTTTTGTCATCTTTTTCTACTAAAATAATAAAACTTCCAAGAACAACAATACTAGTGAGGCCATACATGTCAATCAAAATAGAGAGAGCTATTTGTCCCATAAAACAGGAATCCACTCCCTTCTGGTTTATTAATGAGCTTCATTGATTTGAACTGGGTCATAAGAGGATGACAGATTTTTGAGAGATTTGAATTTTTCTACTATAAATACACTTAATAACTAAACAAAACCATGATTAAAGAAGTAAAGGGCTGTTCTCATTCAAACAAACAAGCTAAGATTCTTCAGACCAAAAAATTAACCTCATAGCTTATTGTTCAGTTGGCAAAATTATATCATATCAAAGACTAATATTGTGACATATGCCATTTTCAAGATAATTATTTTATAATGAACATTATTACCCAAAATGGGAGACAAGAGCTATCTTATGTATTTTCTTTTAAAATTTCTTGTCTTTTGTTAATATTTTAAAATTATTTTTTCACTGTTTTATAAAAATATACTATGTCTTGATCAGATCCATCCCCAACTCCCCTCTCCCACAATACCTGTGTCCCCCCAAAACATGTCCTACTGCCTTCATAGCCCCTTCCTCCTTTTTCTTAACAAACTAGGTCAAATTAGTGTCTGCATAAGCATGTGAAACCTTAGCACCTACCTTCTTGAAGATAAATAATTTTCTTTCACACCCCAAAGCCATCAATTGTTAATAGCATCACAGCTGGGGGAGGCTCATTTGTATTTCCTCCTACCCATAGTGGAATTATTGACTGGCTTGCTCTTGCAAAGGTCTTGGGCAGGGAACTATAGCTACTGTGAGATCAGGAGTAAAATGACAATGCCATGTACAAAAGACAGCATTTCATAGCGCCTTCTCCATCTTATGACTCTTAGAATCTTTCTGCCCCCCTCTTCTGTGATGTTCTGTGACGTTCGGTATAGTGTTGAATATTCACCAGTCACTTATTCACAATACTTGGAGCACTTTTGACTCTCCATATTGATTGCTGCCCAATGCTAAAATAACCTTCTCTGATTAAGTTTGATACCATGATCATTGAACAAAATATCTTTGATAGGTTCTCCTTAGGACGTCTGACATGCCCAGTATGGGTGTTTTTAAAATCAGGTATAGAGTACCTGGATCACTTCACTTAGTATATATATTTTTCTCTATTTAGATGTATTTACTTGAAAAAGTGATAATTTATTATCACCTGAATAAAATTCCATTGCGTATATGAACCACATTTTCATTATTTATTCATCAGCTGATAGACATCTACACTGATTTCGTTTCTGAGATATCGTAAACATTATTAATGAATATGGATTAGCAATATCTTTGTAACAGGATGTAGAGCTTTTTGGGTAGACACCTAGGAATGGCATACCTGAGTTGTATGGTAGTTCTTTGTATTTTCAGCTTTGTATGAAAACTCCTCATTGGCTGGGCACAGTGTTACAACCCTTATAATCCCAGATCTTGGAAGACAGAGGCAGGATGATCTCTATGAGCTTGAGGCCAATCTGGTTTACAAAGAGAGTCTAGGACAGCCAAGGCTACACAGAGAAGCCTTGTTCAAAAACAAAACAAAACAAAACAAAACAAAACATCATCAACAACAAAAAACTCACACACACACACACACACACACAAAATTAAATAACAACAAAACAACAAAAAATCCACAGTGAATTCCTTTCCCCATGTCCTTAAAACAATTGTTTTCTTGAGATAGCCATTTTAACTCAGGTAAGATATAATGTCAAAGTTATTTAATTTGCAATTTGCTGAAGGCTAATGATGTTAAAAAATTAAAAAAACAATGTTTGTTAGCTGAGAGAGATATTCAAAGAGGATACAGAAAGATTGTAAGAGCCAGAAATGATGGATGACAACAGGGAAACAGTGTTTTCCAGACACAGCAGGACTGATACATATATGAAATCACAGAGACTGTGATTGTGTGCACAGGGTCTGCACTGTTTCAAGCCAAGTGTAATCCTAGCACTGAGAGAAGAAAATTTCCATTCCAAACCAAGAATATATCTGCGACTGATACTCAATTGCAAAGAAAGCATTAGTTTTCTCCAATAGAGTCTCCCCCGGCATATTAACCACTCTTAGGGTGAGATTTCATGTAGAAGGCCAATATAAAATAAACTCAATAGAATTTTTATAGACTTTTGTTTTGCATTGTTTTTTGGGCATATTTTTTCTGGTGTTTGCTTGTACATTGTAGTTCAGATTTTGTGTTTTTATGGTTTCTACTGGTGTGTGTGTATGTTTCGTGTTTTGTTTAATTGTTTGCTTGTTTATTTTTTGCTTGCCTGTTTTCTAAAGAAAGGGAGAGAAAGCAGTGCCATGGAGTTGGGAAGATCTAAGAGGCCTTACAGGAGGGGAAAACATGATCAGAATATGTTGTATTAAAAAAAATTTTCCAATAATAAATGTTTACTAGTCATTTCTATTTTTCTCTTGAGAACTTTCCAGTTCCATAGCCTATTGTGTTGTTTGACTTCTTGTTCTTTAGTTTTTTTTAATTATTTTTATATCCAGTATAATAATCTTCTTCTGGTGTATAGCCAGCAAAGGTTTTCTATCACTTGGCCTGCATTTTCACTCTGTTGACAGTTTCCTGTGCCATACAGAAGATTTTGAATATCACAGGGGCTAGAGAGATTGGTAAATTGTTAAGAACTTTGGCTGATTTTCTAGAGGTTCTGAGTTCAATTCCCAGCACACCATGCTCACAGTCTATAATGTAATGCATCGGTATGTGATGCCTTCTTCTGGTGTACATATATTAGAAAAACACCAAATACATAAAACACTAAATAAACATTTAAAAATTCATGAGATCCCATTTGCCAATTATTGATCTTCCTTCCTGAATAATTGAAGTCTTATTCAGAAATTCTCTACCTATAGCTATATCTTGAAGTGTATTCCCTATTTTTCCTAGTAGTTTCAGAGTTCCAGGTCTTATGGTGAGGTCCTTGATGTTTATGTAGAATGAGAAACAAGGGCATAGTTTCATTCATTTACACGAAGATAACTAGTTTCCCCAATATCATTTGTCTTTTCTCCCATGTGTAATTTGTATCTCTGTCAAAAATCAGTTGGTTGTGCTTGTATGTCATCTATTATATTCCATTGATGTGCCAGTACTATGCAGTTTTTATTGCTTTGGCTCTGTAACATTATTTGAAATCTGATATGGCAGTTCCTTCAATAGGATTCTTCTTATTCAGGATTGTTTTGGTTATCTGGAGTGTTTTGCTTCCATATGAGTTTTAAGATATTTTTCTATTTCTATAAAGAATATTTTTAGAAATATGAATGGGAATGA